CTAAGTTGCATCGTACCTACTGTCATGTTCCCTGACATGCAACAACCAACTCTTTCAGTCTGACGACTCCTAGGTTGCATCGTACCTACTGTCATGTTCCCTGACATGCAAACAACCAACTCTTTCAGTCTGACGACTCCTAAGTTGCATCGTACCTACTGTCATGTTCCCTGACATGCAACAACCAACTCTTTCAGTCTCACGACTCCTAGGTTGCATCGTACCTACTGTCATGTTCCCTGACATGCAAACAACCAACTCTTTCAGTCTGACGACTCCTAGGTTGCATCGTACATACTGTCATGTTCCCTGACATGCAAACAACCAACTCTTTCAGTCTCACGACTCCTAAGTTGCATCGTACCTACTGTCATGTTCCCTGACATGCAACAACCAACTCTTTCAGTCTCACGACTCCTAAGTTGCCTCGTACCTACTGTCATGTTCCCTGACATGCAACAACCAACTCTTTCAGTCTGACGACTCCTAAGTTGCATCGTACCTACTGTCATGTTCCCTGACATGCAACAACCAACTCTTTCAGTCTGACGACTCCTAAGTTGCATCGTACATACTGTCATGTTCCTGAAATGCAACAACCAACTCTTTCAGTCTCACGACTCCTAAGTTGCCTCGTACCTACTGTCATGTTCCTGACATGCAACAACCAACTCTTTCAGTCTGACGACTCCTAAGTTGCATCGTACCTACTGTCATGTTCCTGACATGCAACAACCAACTCTTTCAGTCTCACGACTCCTAAGTTGCCTTGTACCTACTGTCATGTTCCTGACATGCAACAACCAACTCTTTCAGTCTGACGACTCCTAAGTTGCATCGTACATACTGTCATGTTCCTGACATGCAACAACCAACTCTTTCAGTCTGACGACTCCTAAGTTGCATCGTACCTACTGTCATGTTCCCTGACATGCAACAACCAACTCTTTCAGTCTGACGACTCTAAGTTGCATCGTACATACTGTCATGTTCCTGACATGCAACAACCAACTCTTTCAGTCTCACGACTCTAGGTTGCATCGTACATACTGTCATGTTCCTGACATACAACAACCAACTCTTTCAGTCTGACGACTCCTAAGTTGCATCGTACATACTGTCATGTTCCCTGACATGCAACAACCAACTCTTTCAGTCTGACGACTCCTAAGTTGCATCGTACATACTGTCATGTTCCCTGACATGCAACAACCAACTCTTTCAGTCTGACGACTCCTCAGTTGCATCGTACCTACTGTCATGTTCCCTGACATGCAACAACCAACTCTTTCAGTCTGACGACTCCTAAGTTGCATCGTACCTACTGTCATGTTCCCTGACATGCAACAACCAACTCTTTCAGTCTGACGACTCTTAAGTTGCATCGTACATACTGTCATGTTCCCTGACATGCAACAACCAACTCTTTCAGTCTGACGACTCCTAAGTTGCATCGTACCTACTGTCATGTTCCCTGACATGCAAACAACCAACTCTTTCAGTCTGACGACTCCTAAGTTGCATCGTACATACTGTCATGTTCCCTGACATGCAACAACCAACTCTTTCAGTCTCACGACTCCTAGGTTGCACCGTACATACTGTCATGTTCCCTGACATGCAAACAACCAACTCTTTCAGTCTGACGACTCCTAGGTTGCATCGTACATACTGTCATGTTCCCTGACATGCAAACAACCAACTCTTTCAGTCTCACGACTCCTAAGTTGCATCGTACCTACTGTCATGTTCCCTGACATGCAACAACCAACTCTTTCAGTCTCACGACTCCTAAGTTGCCTCGTACCTACTGTCATGTTCCCTGACATGCAACAACCAACTCTTTCAGTCTGACGACTCCTAAGTTGCATCGTACCTACTGTCATGTTCCCTGACATGCAACAACCAACTCTTTCAGTCTGACGACTCCTAAGTTGCATCGTACATACTGTCATGTTCCCTGAAATGCAACAACCAACTCTTTCAGTCTCACGACTCCTAAGTTGCCTCGTACCTACTGTCATGTTCCCTGACATGCAACAACCAACTCTTTCAGTCTGACGACTCCTAAGTTGCATCGTACCTACTGTCATGTTCCCTGACATGCAACAACCAACTCTTTCAGTCTGACGACTCCTAAGTTGCCTTGTACCTACTGTCATGTTCCCTGACATGCAACAACCAACTCTTTCAGTCTCACGACTCCTAAGTTGCATCGTACATACTGTCATGTTCCCTGACATGCAACAACCAACTCTTTCAGTCTGACGACTCCTAAGTTGCATCGTACCTACTGTCATGTTCCCCTGACATGCAACAACCAACTCTTTCAGTCTGACGACTCCTAAGTTGCATCGTACATACTGTCATGTTCCCTGACATGCAACAACCAACTCTTTCAGTCTGACGACGCCTAAGTTGCATCGTACATACTGTCATGTTCCCTGACATGCAACAACCAACTCTTTCAGTCTGACGACTCCTCAGTTGCATCGTACCTACTGTCATGTTCCCTGACATGCAACAACCAACTCTTTCAGTCTCACGACTCCTAAGTTGCATCGTACCTACTGTCATGTTCCCTGACATGCAACAACCAACTCTTTCAGTCTGACGACTCCTAAGTTGCATCGTACATACTGTCATGTTCCCTGACATGCAACAACCAACTCTTTCAGTCTGACGACTCCTAAGTTGCATCGTACATACTGTCATGTTCCCTGACATGCAACAACCAACTCTTTCAGTCTGACGACTCCTAAGTTGCATCGTACATACTGTCATGTTCCCTGACATGCAACAACCAACTCTTTCAGTCTGACGACTCCTAAGTTGCCTTGTACCTACTGTCATGTTCCCTGACATGCAAACAACCAACTCTTTCAGTCTGACGACTCCTAAGTTGCATCGTACCTACTGTCATGTTGCCAGGGACAGATTCCAATATTGCCAGCTGATGTGGCATGTATAGAGTGAGTGAGTATAGTTTTACACCACTTTTAGCAATATTCCAGCACCAGAAATGGGCTTGACTCATTGTTCCCATTTGGGGAATCGAACTTGGGTTTTCCGCGTGACGAGCGAAAGCTTTAACCAGGCCAATGCCCCCTGTATAGAGTGAGTGAGTGAGATAGATTTTACATCGCTTTAAGCAATATACCAGCAATTCCAAGGTGGGGAAAAAATTCTTAAGAGTTGTCACATAACAAACATGCAAGCCTAAGGTTATAATGTTATACTGTGTTTACCAAACATCCAAGCTTAAGGTTACAATGTTGTACTGTGTTACCAAACATGCAAGCTTAAGGTTATAATGTTGTACAGTGTTTACCAAACATGCAAGCTTAAGGTTATAATTTGTACTGTGTTTACCAAACATGCAAGCTTAAGGTTACAATGTTGTACTGTGTTTACCAAACATGCAAGCTTAAGGTTATAATGTTGTACTGTGTTTACCAAACATGCAAGCCTAAGGTTACAATGTTGTACTGTGTTTACCAAACATGCAAGCCTAAGGTTATGTTGTACTGTGTTCACCAAACATGCAAGCTTAAGGTTACAATGTTGTACTGTGTTTACCAAACAAGCAAGCTTAAGGTTACAATGTTGTACTGTGTTTACCAAACATGCAAGCCTAAGGTTATAATGTTGAACTGTGTTTACCAAACATGCAAGCTGAAGGTTATAATGTTGTACTGTGTTTACCAAACATGCAAGCTTAAGGTTATAATGTTGTACTGTGTTTACCAAACATGCAAGCTTAAGGTTACAATGTTGTACTGTGTTTACCAAACATGCAAGCCTAAGGTTATAATGTTGTACTGTGTTTACCAAACATGCAAGCTTAAGGTTATAATGTTGTACTGTGTTTACCAAACATGCAAGCTTAAGGTTATAATTTGTACTGTGTTTACCAAACATGCAAGCTTAAGGTTACAATGTTGTACTGTGTTTACCAAACATGCAAGCTTAAGGTTATAATGTTGTACTGTGTTTACCAAACATGCAAGCTTAAGGTTATAATTTGTACTGTGTTTACCAAACATGCAAGCTTAAGGTTATAATGTTGTACTGTGTTACCAAACATGCAAGCTTAAGGTTACAATATTGTACTGTGTTTACCAAATGTCAAGATCAACACTCAAACTGAACAGCTTCTTGTTCTCTATTTGTATAGCATTTCATAGGCATAATAAACAGTTGTGAACTCAAAATGATTTCTAGTTTTACTGACACAATTAACGAGAAAAGATCCTATTGTGTCCAAGAGAACAATGAGATCACAGGAACTTGTTCATCATGTAGGTAGTGGTATGCAGCAAGCTGGGCTGTGCAAGAGTTGTGTCCCTTAGCTGCCAGAGCGAGATGCCTTCGTTCCACTAACATTCCTGCACAGTGATACATCATTACATCACGTGTCAGACTTTTCATTGTTTGTAAATAAATGTGTTTATTCTAAACTGGTCAGAATAACATACAGAGCCCTCACAGCTCACTTCACACACATGTTGAGTTTCCATGGCTATGGTGCTACATCTGCTACAGATGTCACTACCTGTCCAGACCTCTGATGGTGAGCAGTATAACCCATGCTAACATAGGATAAATAGTATTTCACATTACAGGAGATTTTGTCAATAAAAGTTGTCATTCTACATGTTCACTAGATTCTAAAAATTGAAACTGAATAACATTGTTTGAATAAACTCTGTATGATATGACGAGGCATCCCATGGAAGTTGACTAGTGAGTGCGAGCGACTATGAATTTAGGCCGCTTTTAGCAACATTCCAGCAATATCAACGCTGGGGACACCAGAAATTGGTTTTCACACATTGTACCCATGTGAGGAATCTTTGGTGTGACGACCAATCACTTTAACCACTGACTACCTCACCGCCCCAGTTGACTAGTGGTAGGACTACCAAGCTCTCTGGTTGCCATTCAGATTGGTCACAGCTCATTCAGATTATTTCTATGGAATAAAACAATAATCTTCCAATTTCTGGCACTCTTTAATAAATATTGATGGTCAATATATACATTCTTGTTTAGAGAATACAATTTTCAGCACATGCACATGACCTAAATATATTTTGAAAAACCTGGGAAATGCAGATATCTGGTCACCATGGTAACTAACTCATTCTCAGATCGTATCAACAAGACCAAAGTTCACACAGAACAAGTTATGCCAGTTTAGTTCACTTTTAATGTTTTTCAGTTTTCGAATTCCATTACATGACAAAGGGATCTGTTTCCTGTGGACTTGTTCTGCCACCTGTTGGTTGTGGACAATACCTGCACAGTGCCCTACTAACCTAGCATACCTTCGGAATGATGATCTGTGATGATTTGCAATATGTGTCCTTCCCCATACCAAGATGCTGTCCTTAAGCTGAAATAATACTGTTCCCATGTTCTAGCCTGATCAGCATCCGTCCCCATATTCAAGGCTGAATGATCAGCTGTCCCCTGCTCTGGGCTGAATCAGAAGCTTATCTCAGTGCTGTAGGCTGAATCAGCGTCTGTCCCCTGTTCTAGGCTGAATCATTATCTGTCCCCTGTTCTAGGCTGAATCAGCTGTACCCCTGTTCAAGGCTGAATCAGCATCTGTCCCCTGTTCTAGGCTGAATCATCATCTGTCCTCTCTGCTGAGATTCCCCAGACATCAGGAGTCCTCTCTGCTGATACTCTCCAGACATCAGGGGTCCTCTCTGCTGAGACTCTCCAGACATCAGCTGTCCTCTCTGCTGAGACTCTCCAGACATCAGCTGTCCTCTCTGCTGACATTCCCCAGACTTCAGGAGTCCTCTCTGCTGAGACTCTCCAGACATCAGGGGTCCCCTCTGCTGAGACTCCCCATACATCAGGAGTCCCCTCTGCTGAGACTCTCCAGACATCAGGGGTCCTCTCCCTCCTCAATTCCCTGGTTCTCAGAATGGTACTTGTACATGTTCACCTTCTCACAGGCGATCTTGATGGACCTCTGAACCCGGAGTTTCTCTTCTGTAAGGGAAACAAGGACATTTGAAGCAAGCACTAGCAAGGAAACATGTTGAACTAGTACTGCCAGCATGGAAACATGTTGAACTAGTACTGCCAGCACGGAAACATGTTGAACTAGTACTGCCAGCATGGAAACATGTTGAACTAGTACTGCCAGCACGGAAACATGTTGAACTAGTACTGCCAGCATGGAAACATGTTGAACTAGTACTGCCAGCACGGAAACATGTTGAACTAGTACTGCCAGCACGGAAACATGTTGAACTAGTACTGCCAGCATGGAAACATGTTGAACTAGTACTGCCAGCACGGAAACATGTTGAACTAGTACTGCCAACATGGAAACATGTTGAACTAGTACTGCCAGCACGGAAACATGTTGAACTAGTACTGCCAGTACGGAAACATGTTGAACTAGTACTGCCAGTACGGAAACATGTTGAACTAGTACTGCCAGCACGGAAACATGTTGAACTAGTACTGCCAGCACGGAAACATGTTGAACTAGTACTGCCAGCACGGAAACATGTTGAACTAGTGAACTAGTACTGCCAGCACGGAAACATGTTGAACTAGTACTGCCAGCACGGAAACATGTTGAACTAGTACTGCCAGACCAATTTTATTTCTTGTTTAATGGATCTGCTGGTCGTATTTTTTCAAGATTACGAAAAAAAATAAAAATGAATTTTACCAGCTGAAAACATAAAATTTTAATATTTCTATTGGCCAAAAATGTAATTGTGCAAGAAAATGTTTTCAGATTGTTTGTTCCCCCATATACACTTCATAACTTGTCAACAGTAAAATACTTTTAGGATTTAAAAGAATATTACTTTGACTAGTTATTTTATAATTACCTGGTGTGACAAGGTGTATTTATCTAGTGTGCAGCAGTTTATATGTACCTGGTGTGACAAGGTGTATTTATCTAGTGTGCAGCAGTTTATATGTACCTGGTGTGACAAGGTGTATTTATCTAGTGTGGAGCAGTGTGTGGTCACCTGATGTGATACTGTGTATTAACCGTCTCCTAAACAGCTTACATGTACCTGGTGTGACACTATTTACAATCTGTATAACAGTTGTATTTACCTAGTGTGAAACAGTTCATATTTACCTGGTGTGGAGCAGTGCTGGAGGAAGTCTGGGAGATGCTGTTTGTGATATCTGATGAGGAACTTCTGACAGGAGCGGATTGTCCCTGTGACAGAAGGAGAACCAGTGACTACCATGTACAACACACAATCCATCGTGGCTTCAGAGGCTGTTTGATGTTTATCAATGTCCTGTTTGATGTTTAGCAATGTCCCGTAAAGTGATTCATAAATGAGTGTGGGGAGCCGTTTGAAACCACATTTCTAACGGTACTGAAAATCACAGTGTTTCAGCTTAATCTGGGAAGACACCTGTCAATAGTTTCAGTTTCACCACTTTTAGCAATATTCCAGCAATATCACGGCAGGGGACACAAGGAATGAGCTTCACACATTGTACCCACATGCGGAATCAAAACCCAGGTCTTCAGCGTCGACGAGAGGACACTTTAACCACTAGGCTACCCCATCGCCCCTCAAGTTTATATGTTCACCTCTTTAGTGAAACCCTCAATCAAACTGCACTGGTACAGTACTGATCATACAAGCTTCATACTGGAACTAGCACCTCGTGAGATGTACTGGCCCTGTAAGGGCAAACGTGAGATTGAAACCTGTGATTAGTGTTTACTGCTTCGATTAAGGGAGGCGACTCTGTCCAATGCCTAAGACAACTGTCACAAATAGCAATCGTGACAACTAAAGGTACCAACTGTAATATATTCAGCCAGCAATGTATTGAATGAAAGGAATATCCCAATCTAAAATTGAATCCCATGAATGAATCCATGCACCTCTGTGTTCTGAGCAAACTTTGCGCTACTACTACAACAAGTGTAGAAGTGAGCAAAGCTCACATACCCCCGCTTCCCACTTTGGGACATGGAAATGACTGATATTGATATATATAATGTGACAAGGATCAGCAGCTCACAAGACTTTCTCTTTGACTCTACTAAACTTTATATACATGTTAGATAATAGTTTTGGCATGTACTGATAACGGTAATAATTTATGGAAACTAGATTTTTTTGTGTTTTCCGTGGAAACCTGACATACAATTGAACTTGACTGTCTCATGTTGCACACAATGGACGTAGATGAAGATTGCTATTTTTTAGCACATGGCATATCTGTGGGTCACGACTAACTTGTGTATTAAGTTTGGTGAACCTAGCATGTATAGTTTCGATGATATGCCGTGGTCAGGTAACCATCAAATACATTTTGCACGTACCTAGCATGAACCTAGCATGTAAACTTTAGGAGATATGGTCTGGACAAAATAATCGAACACATTTGGCTCTAAGTCGTGTTCCCATGGAAACAGCAAAAAACACAATTCATATCTGGATCTACCCCCCAAAAGGCACATCTAGGGATCATGCTTGATATGTGTACCAAGTTTGATGAAGCTAGCATGTATAGTTTGGAAGATCTGCTCCGGACAAGATGACACCCTCATAGTCACAGCCTAAGTCGTGTTTCCATGGAAACAGCAACAAAACTAAATTCTGAAAAAACTATAAAATAGCAAAAGGCACATCAATGGGTAATGATTAACCTGTGTGTGAAGTTTGGTGAACCTAGCATGTAAACTTTAGGAGATATGCTCTGGACAAAATAATTGAACACATCTGGCTCTAAGTCGTGTTCCCATGGAAACAGAAAAAAATACAATTCATATCTGGATCTAAACCCCAAAAGGCACATCTAGGGATCATGCTTGATATGTGTACCAAGTTTGATGAAGCTATCATGTATAGTTTGGAAGATCTGCTCTGGACAAGATGACATCCTCATAGTCACAGCCTAAGTCGTGTTTCCATGGAAACAGCCAAAAAACTAAATTCTGAAATACTTTAAAATAGCAAAAGGCACATCAATGGGTAATGATTAACATGTGTGTGAAGTTTGGTGAACCTAGCATGTAAACTTTAAGAGATATGCTCCGGACAAAGTTTCAGGACGGACGGACGGACAGAATGAACGCTATATAGGGTATAAGTCTACACTAGATATGACGGTCATAGTGCTAATATCACGAGGTTCTTCACAGGCATATAGAAGTTGGTATTCAAGTATAAGACAAAATATTATGGATGTCAACTTCTTTATTGTATACACAGCGTTTCTGGGCTATTTCTTGCCCCTTCGTCAGGTGAATGACAAAAGGGCAAGGAATAGCCCTGAAACGTTGTGCATACAATAAAGAATGAGTTGACATCCATAATATTTTGTCTTATGCTAATATCACTTTCTACAGTTGCCCCCATGTCAAATATCCTGGCCACAATGACAAATACTAAACATAACTTGCCACAATATTCGATCCTGTGAAAGCTATTCCATGAAGGTTGAGTGTAATGAACAAATTGTTATATTACCTGCAACGTGCAGCGTTCTCACACTAACACTGATGTTGCCAATTTTCTTGACAAATGCAAGTGCTGTCTGCAAGAGATGCTGAGCTCCTCGTCTGATTCGAATAAATGCCATTCCTGTTCCAATGTTGAGATATTTCACTGAAATGTGAATATGACTGGTGAAATTCAACATCTGTGTATATCCAGATAGCTTTAATTATCACAAGCAGCTTCTGACAGCTGAATCCTAATGATAATTGTGGCCATTTTAACAACTCTCAATAAGTTCATTATCATCTTCTCACGGGAGGCGTGGGGTGAGGTAATAGTATGTTCATAATTGTGTTAAATTTTTTAATAAAGGCAGACTGTATCAGCATCCCATGTTTTTGTTGATTTAAATCAGAAAAATTATGAAAATGGACCTATAAAACCATTGTCAATCATACTCAGTTTGGAGTTATGAAAATGGTCGTATATTTATAAACATCGTCATACTCAGTTTGGACTTACTTCACTCTATTTATTGAAGATAATTAACAATGAATTCTGAAAATATAATCTATGGAACTTATAGCCAATCACATGCTTAGTATAACATCAGGGTTTTCCGATTCAATGATGGCGGAGCTTAGCAACTACGTGTAATTTGTCAAATTGGTATTTATGATTGAACATTATTTCAAATAATATGATAACAAACTACTTAAAACAGAAGTGTGAAGGGGAACGTAGTGAGGAATCGGGGATAAGTCCTGACAAAAAGAAAACTGAGAAATCTAGTAAAGCGGTAGGCAGTGTAGGTGTTACATGTGAATTAAAGACCTTGAAAAAATGGACAAAAAACCCTGAATAATGTGAATATTGAAATTGGATACCAATTAAACTGACTGACTGAATTTGGTTTTACGCCGCTTTTAACAATATTCCAGCAACATCACGGCGGGGGACACCAGAAATGGGCTTCACAAATTGTACCCATGTGGGGATTCGAACCCGGGTCTTCGGCGTGACGAGCCAACGCTTTAACCACTGGGCTACCCCACCGCCCCAGATACCAATAAAAAGAAGATACTACAGAGTGTGTGTACAACATATGTTGCAATATCCCAATATCACCATATATATTTATACTGTGTGCAGAGATACTAGCAAATATGATCAGAAGTAATGGAAATATACATGGTATACATATGGGAAACCTACTACCTCTTCTTGCCCAGTCTGCAGATGATACTACACTACCTGCAGTGTGTAGGGTGTGTATACACTAACTCTAACGGATCAGACAACAGCCTCTACGCAACAATGAATACGATGTTTGATAGGCATTTAGAAGTTGGTAGGGTAATGCAACACACTTGATATGGATGTGCAACTTCTTTATTATTTACACACGACGTTTCCCCTTCATCACATGCATTCACCTGATGAAGGGGCAAGTAAAAAAGTCGTGTGTAAATAATGCAGAAGTTGCACATCCATATCAAGTGTGTTGTATTAACAATGAATACTTTATCTTCTGTTGCAAGATTTTCTGGATTAAAGGTTAATGCTGACAAAACTAAACTGCTTTGGATTGAGTCAAAAAAGAGAACAAGGTATAAGCTCTGTCAAGAGTGGGAAACGGACTGGTCACAGACTCAGTTTAGATTACTTGGTATAGAATTTGACGTTGACTTAGATAATATGACAGAATTGAATTATAACAAAAACTTTGAGAAAATTGAAACAAAAATGGCAATGTGGACGAAAAGAACCCTAACACTGTTGGGAAGACATGTTGTATTGAAGTCACTACTACTTCCAAAAATGAAATTTTTAGAGTAAAATTAATATTTTATACTTATCCTGACTCATGAGGTAAGCCCTCCCATCCTCCCCACATAACACTTTGGATTTCCCTGGAAATTCAGGTGTTGGGCTCAGTATATGAGGAGAGAGTGAGGCACATGGGTTCAGGTGGCGCCCTCGTTCCCGCGCTTGTGGAAGGGAGGTAACTCGTGGTCAGTACTAATGAGTGATTTTTTATTGAAGGGAACTTCAATTGGGAGATACAAGTGTTCCACTAGGTTCGCCAGAAGAAGAAGACAAGCAATAAGCATGAGTCAGGATAAGTATAAAATATTAATTTTACTCTAAAAATTTCATATTTTTCCTTATCCTGACTCATGCTTATTGCTTGTAGAATCCTACGGATAAGGAGGTGGGATTATATATACTTTGGATTTTACTAATTAGTGATTTGAACTGAGATGATTGCAATAACCCTATGGGAACTTCATAAAGGCACTGAACTGAAGAATTCCTGCTGTTAACTTATCAGCTGCCATATAAGGGTTATTACAATTTACTGAATATAATAAAAGTATATATAACATTAAGTAAGCTGAAGCCATTAATGTGATAGTATAAACTCTTGATAGTTTATAGTGAATACTTTTATAATGAACCAAAGTATTAAGCTTACAATATGCATATATATAAGCTATAATATAACTGTGCTTAAGATATAACTATAACTTAAGCTGTATAATAGTAACCAATTACTGAGAGTTTGTTAACTAATACATGTCATGAACTGAACATATGACTGAGCTTAAGGATTGAAACTTAAGCTGAACATATGTATAATAGTAGAACTCCTAAGAGTTGTAGGCATATATATAGTATGATATAGAATCACAGTACCGTATAACAGCAAAAGACTCCCTAGAGTTTATTAGCTAATATACTTTATGATATGAGTATAGTACTGTGCTTAAGATATAATTAACTTGAGCTACCTAAATAGCCAAAACAACTCCGTAGAGTTCGTTAGCTAAAACATTTTATAATGTAACCATAATGCTTAAGATATGATGAAACTTAAGCTAAATATATAATAGCTAAAAACTCTTAGAGTTTGTTAGCTAAGATACTTATATGATAAAATATAGTACTGAGCTTAAGATATGAATAAACTTAAGCTACATATATAATAGCAAAAAAACTCCGTAGAGTTTGTTAGCTAATACATTTTATAATGTAACCATAATGCTTAAGATATGATGAAACTTAAGCTAAATATATAATAGCAAAAAACTCTTTAGAGTTTGTTAGCTAATATACTTATGATATAAACATAGTACTGAGCTTAAGATATGAATTAACTTAAGCTACATATATAATAGCCAAAAACTCCGTAGAGTTTGTTAGCTAATACATTTTATAATGTACCCATAATGCTTAAGATATGATGAAACTTAAGCTAAATATATAATAGCAAAAAACTCTTTAGAGTTTGTTAGCTAATATACTTATATGATATAAACATAGTACTGAGCTTAAGATATGAATTAACTTAAGCTACATATATAATAGCCAAAAACTCCGTAGAGTTTGTTAGCTAATACATGTTATAATGTAACCATAATGCTTAAGATATGATGAAACTTAAGCAAAATATATAATAGCAAAAACTCTGTAGAGTTTGTTAGCTAATACATTATAATGTAACCATAGAATTGAGCTTAAGATATGATTAACTTAAGCTAAATATATAATAACAAACTCCGTAGAGTTGTTAGCTTATATATAGTATGATATAAACACCATAGTACTGAGCTTAAGATAATAAATTAAACTTAAGCAAAATATATAGATATCATGTATCTATTAGTACTGTCATACGATAAGCATAAAATCTGTAAGATAGACTTATCTTCTCCGTGGAACTGTCAACTGTTGAGCGAGGACCATGGGACCGAAACGGTGGATACCTGAGACTTCCTTGGTGGTGATATCTCTGAGATAGTGGTTGGCAAACACCATATCGGATCTCCAGAAACATCCCTCCATTATGGTATTCAACGAACAATTCCCATGTAGAGCGAGAGTTGAGGCTAGCGCTCTAATTTCGTGAGGATTAGAAGCTCTTGGAGGGTCGCGTCCTACAGCCTTGTAGGCACGTAGTATGACAGTTCTGATCCAGATAGAGATAGTAGTACGTAAGACTTCCGTCTGCGTAGCTGTAGATATAGGGATAAATAATCTCTTGAATATCCCCTGCTCTATTTGGATCGTTGGAGATATATTTTCAGTGTACGAACTGGGCATAGTGATAGATCCATCGTATCATGCGGTCCAAGTATGGATGAGAGAGCTGGGACGTGGAATAATCTGTCTGGTTGACCTGGCAGTTGGTTTTCCCTATAAAATCCCAGCGAAGTCCCAGATGAGCTATGTTATGAAAATCATCAAAGCGTGTTCTCTCGTAATCCAGTGCGTGAATCTGACATCCTGGTGGCCGTAGCTAGTGCTAACAGGATCAAGGTTTTGTGGGTCAGTGATTCAAACGATGTAGATAGCGATGGTTCAAAAAAACCTCACTAGTGAGGTGTTGGAGCATTATATTAGATCCCAAGCTGGAGCGTGAAACTTCCGTTTCTAATCCTCCAATCGGAACGCTTGTAACAAACCGAGTAACTCTGGCGTTTTGTCAACTTGACGCCCGCTCTCATAGTATGACAGAACTTATAGCTGCCAGATAAATGGACAAGGTTGAGCCTTTTAGATTCTTAGTTTAACGTAGATAACATAAGAAATCTGCCACTTGAGGATGTGTAGCATATCTGGTTGTAAATCCTTTCTTAGCAGCGTAATTGACAAAACTGTGCCATTTGTCATCGTATAAGTTACGAGTCGAGTTATGTCGTGCAAGCGTGACCGCTGTAGCCGCTCTGGCAGAATAACCTCTTATTCAGACATGCCTTGATACAATCCATACGTGAAGTTGGAATGCTTCTGGTGTATCGTGCACTTGTTTGGTGGGCAGATGTATCAATAGATTGGAGCGTTGTGGGAGCTGAAGAATTAGTTTTCCGATTTCTTGTATGAGATCTGGAAACCAAGTTCTCGCTAGCCAGTAGGGCGTGACCAAATCAGATGGAGGCTCTGCATTTGACTGATTTTCTGTAAGACTTGCTTAGTGTGTCTGTTGCCCATGCTAGTGGGTCTGGCACTGGCGATACGAATGTTGTCAGTTGCTTGTTGAACCGAGTGGTGAATAGGTCTATCAGAGGAGATCCTATTTCCCTGTGTGTGGAGCATCCATTCTGTCGGCGACGGTAGGTGTAGCCCAGAGAGAGCGTCTGCTAATACATTCTATGCTCCTGGAA